CCTTGAGCCACAGGCACCACCCTTTAACTCTTTTTTTGAGCAACATAATTTAAGGGTGCTGCAGAAATTTAACTATAGGTTCAAGTGTGCCCATAATATAAAAAAAGGTTGAAAAAACACTGAGCTTCAACACAGGTATCAAGGTCCTGATGCACAACAGAATGGGTTGTCAAGGGCATGTTCAAGTTTTTAAACTGAAACTATTGAGCTATTTTGGATCATAAAGTTTCTTTAAAGTGCTGAATAAAATGGTGAGGACAGGGTGTTCATACATTACTACCTGTCTTAAAGTTGCTTTCAAACTCCTCAAGGGGAATATGTTTAATTTGAAACTCTCAAGTTCAGCTCTCCAGTCAACTTTCAAATGAGAGGAATGTGTTTTGTTCTTTTGCAAGTGAATTTATCCATAAGAAGAAGGAGCCGGTGCCTGCGTGCCCAGGGATTTTCACCCGCAGATTTTTGAGCCACAGATTTCATAGAGTTGTTTTTGTCTTTCTGGCCTCAAGGGACTATGAACAGAAACAGCAAGAAGGCTAGAATGGGCATCCATCCTCACAGAGATTAGAAACAAGATTTCCAGCAGGCAGAGCAGAGGAAACAGTTAAGACTTGAGGCTGTCAGGAAAGTGGTCTCAACTTGCTTAATGACTTCACAGAATTAGCCTTCAAACAAGAGGAGACAAAGTAATGAATGTAAATCACCCCAAAGGGAGTTCAAGTAATATTATCCAATTAGCTTCCTCGAGTGACAAAATACTGCAAGCAAGAAATCAAGTTCTCAGATACAATACTTAGATAACAGAGAATATTGAGTGAGCCCTTTTAAAAACAATTTACTCATTTGTAATATCAAGATCAACATGAAATAAGAAAATGAAAAGAAACGAACATTGAGATAACATACTTCAGCCCCCTTTTTTATTAATGTTAGCACTTAAATGGCATGTAAAGGACAAACCCAGGTTGTATTACACAGAGCTGTCCCATGTAAGAAACTTGGACTCGTAGAAAGAGGGAGTGGTGAAGCCTTTATTCTGCTGTGTGAAGCCCAAGGAATGTGAAATCTCATAACAAAATGCTAATAGAATGCACACCGCACAGTTGAGACTTGCTTTGTAATGACACGGTAAAGTTGGGCAGTGTCCAAAATCTATAGCACTAAAACAAATCACAGGTATAAAAGTCACATTGCCATAGCTATTTTTTATAAAAAGGAAAAAGATTACGAAAAAGTATTATTATAATACCCTCGAAATAGACACCTGTAAAATACAACAGAAAAAAAACCTACATTGACTTCCACATAAATATGTCGGGAAATCATTCACAACTTTCAGGAGAATTTTGTTATCCTTCTCAAAAGGGATGCAGGGACCAGCCAGAAGTGGCAGAGCGGGGACGATCTCAAGCTCAGTCCAGACACGCAGGTGGGCTGGTGGCTGGAACAACTTGTCATTTTGAAGACAGACACCTTCTCCCAACCTCCCTACCACAAAACTTGTCCAAAGTTCTGGAAACTGTTTTTAAGAAAGTGCACCAGAAGTAAGTTATAATATAGAATTATAATATGGATGTTCTAAGAAATTCCAAGAACAAGGCTATGTATGCAGTTTGAGAAGCTAATAAATAGTCATCACAACTGCAGGGAGAGAAATTATCTCAGGGACTTGCCCATTTCTCATAATTTGACAACAACTAATACCTGTTAGATTCCTTAATGCTTGTGGACACAGATATTTGATGGATGTAGAAGGGTATTTGTTGTAGTATTTTCTAAAAGGGTAAAAACATAGAAACAGCCTGAATGTCCATTAATAAAGAAACAATTAAATCGACTATGTGTAGCTAAACAATGGGGTACATATTATAACAGAGCCATAAAAAAGAATGCAGTAAATATTGTATATTAACCGGGTAATTTATCTATGCTATTTTGTTATGTGAAAAAAGCAAAATGCAAAGTTAGTGCACATAATGTGTTTGTGTAAATAATAAAAAGAGAGAGAGAAACCCATTACGTATTTGCGTGCGTTTGTACTGGCATAGAGTAACGTACCCACAAGCAGTAATTGCCCGGCTGGCCTGGTTCAGAACTGGGGAGCAGAGGAGAAAGACTGCTCTATTTTTCTTAATACGTCTGTCAATTGCTTGACCCGGGTCTAGGAAATCGGCATTGCCTTTGAACTTAAAAACAATTTAGAAAAAGTGCAGTTGTATGCGGTGCTACTCATGATGTAAAAGCCTTATATGAATAAGTATATATTAGTCTAAATAGATGTTTTGTTTTGTTTTGTTTTTGTAGTTTTTTTGGCCAGGGCTGGGTTTGAACCCACCACCTCCAGCATATGGGGCCAGCGCCCTACTCCTTTGAGTCACAGGCGCCGGCCAATAGATGTTTTTATAAGTGATGTCAAGCATAATAATTTTTTGAGCAAATGAAAGGAAGAAGAGGAGGAAGAGAAAAATTAGAAGGATAAAAGGAATTCACGCACATATTATATACATAAATACTTTGTATCTGTATGCTTTATTTCATTAAACCACAAACCCTGTGATGCAGGTATTACTATTTCTATTTTATAGATGAGGAAAATGGCAAGCCTGGGAAAGAAGTAGAAGTCAAAGTCCCATCTTCCTAATTCTAGAAACTGGAAGTCCACTCTACCAATGTAAGTGAAGTTCTACAGTTTCATATCCGAAACCCACAAGGTCTCCTAGTTCTGTATAAAGTACTAGATAGATAGATGATAGATAGACAGATAGACAGATATCCATGTTTTCAAAACTGTTTCTCTCTCAACAAAAGTAAACTGGCAGGCTTCAACATTTTCAGAACAGT